AGAACTGTTTCTTTCAAATTTCGTCGCATTCACGTGCGTATTTGCGCATAATTTGTAAAACATTGAACTAGGAATCCCTTGGAGACCTGAAATGGGAAAACAAAACATACAAGCTAACGATGTCAATTGTACTGATCACGACGTTTCCATTGCCATGCTACTAGTCTTGGAAAATCGACAGAATCAGAAAGAGGCAGTACTAAATTACATTGTTAAGTTGATAAAGTTGTGTCAACAGCTAAGGGGAAAAAGGCGGCGAGAAAAGAAAGACATACCGTAACTTTGAACGAATGTTACAGTTCCTTTTTTACGCATCATTTCCGTGATTGTGCAAACTTATTATTTAATTTTTCTGCGTTAACGCAACATAACATAACAACAGCTAATCCCGGAGAACGATGGCAAAACGGAAAGGATTAACGAGGATTTGACTTGTCATAATGAGATTTGACCGTCAAAAAATTGCCAAATGAGAATTATTCGCTCTTATCTCTGGGTATACAATGTTGTTACGTGATAACGCCAAAATTTTCTGAACGTAGAAAATGTAACAGGGTAATTGGCTACCGTAAAGAGTTGCAAAGCTGAAGTTCCGCGCGTTAGCCCTTCGTCACTCTGAAGTTTCTGAAGAGTCTTTTTCACGTCTCAAATCTACATACCTGAGCTATAAATTAAAAATTCAACACAAAAATTATGAAACGTGTGTTTTTTTCCTTTGTACAATTGCAATAAGTGGAGGGCAGAGAGACGATCAAGCAGATTCTGGTTTTGGTATAAGTGCATGAATTTCTTACAACACACAAGAAAATGAACGAAATCTGTAATTCGAGCGAATCGGCAGGACCGCTTTCACAGAGACTCCGTCTCATTCCTAGTACCACATTTTTTTGAACAAATATTGCACGTGGGTCTCCCACGACATGAAGAAAAAAACTAATCCTGGGTGTTTTAAAGCGTAGTTTCACAAAACATAGCCTCTCTGAGAAGATTCAGACGCAAATTATAACCACACCGGCCTCTCTCAGTGCCTTTGAGAGATAAATAATTTATTGAATAGGCAATCACAATTGAAATAATTTCAAACAAGATTATTATCCTCCAACCATTTAGTTAAATACTGAAGATCGTAAAAATTATAAATATCCAGAGTTAGATGTAAGAGACTCATGTAAAACAAATTAAGTGAAAACAGTTTCCTCGAGCATAAAACATGTCATCTCTTTGCCTGTCTTAATTAGTAATGGCCAGTCAAAAAAGGTACCTGAGTTTAAAACTGACTGAAGAAAAAAAAAATGGGGAAAATGCTGAGCCAAAGTTATTCGGCGAGGTAGAATTATAGTTCGATAAAGTTATACTTTATCACGGCGATCTGTTAAGTTAAATGGTGAGAGCCAAGCTGTACCTTGATAGCGTTTAGTTCTTCTGGCACGTGTTGTAAACTAGTATCCTTATTACCCAATGATGGTGAAGCAGCGGATTCGCTGGCGATACAAGTGTTTCGCCTGTTATTAAACAACTACAAGCCGAAAACACAAAGAAAGGTCTCTCAAATTATTGAATAATTTTTTAACTTCAACACTTTAAACCGCTGAGTCCAAACTCCTCTTGGCTTGTAAATAATTATTTGAATTGTACTAAGAGGGTCTGGATGGGGTTAACTGACAACTAACAAATCGCTGAAAATCTAACTGACAACTGACATTTGTGGTGGGCTTTTAATGACAGCTGACAAAAGACCGGATCACCCTAAATATCCTAAAATCTGGATGTGAAATAAGGACAGTTGACTTATTTTGTCCAATAAAAGTATGGTTTTCATTGAATATCAGTAGTGGTACGCCAGAGTGTCATATTTCATTAATAATTATCGCATGGACCACAAACATTAATGTCATATGTCACATGTCGGTTATATGATCTTTGATACTCAACTCGATCGTGAACTTACGCGATGGCCGTCACGACGGCCGAATTGGTTTGGAAACGGCATTTGAGCGTTACAGAAGCCGCATTCCTATTAATGATGTAGATACCGTACTGGCGCTGAAAAAGAGATCAACCCCGAGACTGTAAGTGCTATGAAAGAATTTGTGGAGAAGTATCGTCTGTCGAGGCAACGGACAGTTCGGGAAGAACTACTAAGGACGAGGCAGGGGCTTTACCACGGGCCGTCTACACGAAGCAATAATATTCCATCAAAGTGGACTTATTGGTGGGACTAGGGAACGATTTTCACTCTGGAGATCAGCCAGTAGGGCTCAGCAGCGATAAAGGAGCCGTTCAAGCTACTTCGGAAGGTGGGAATGTGACATATCACATTTATTGACGACTGTATCGTTGAAGTGGCAGTTGCTGAGGTGCGATCATGTGCAGACGAACATGACACGAACGCAGAAAACGACTTTTCTGACGGAGAGGACGAAGATATTACCCCAGTTACGGTTTCTAGATCTGGGTGGCCAGTTCGCGTCCAGTTTCGCTTGGATTTCTAAGGTAATCTGACAATAGATTTCTCTAATAACCTAATTGAAAAGTAGACAAAAGAACATTCCTTTCCGATCATTTATTCGGAGCCAATCATAATCGTAAAACAAAACATAAAACCAATTCACAGTGCTAGAGGACTCTTCACGAGTTTGATGTCTTTCGGACGATCTTCTTTCCAACATTTTGATAGGCCAAGTGTTTGAAAAGGAATGTTTCAATGTTGCGCACGGGCAAACAGAAGTTTAAGTGCAGAAGAGTTGTTACTTATTTAAACACCCTTTAAACAAAGACTGAAACTCACTTGGAAGATCTTGGAATTATTTCATTCCAAAATTGAGAAAAAGGAGATCTTATTTTCGACTCAATTTTCGAGTTTACGTTATATTTGCCTTTTTAGCCAAAAATAGGGTCAGAAAGTAATAAGTAACTCGCCGAGTTAATTATCCACATTCATTTAACTGACAACTAACAAATGGCCTAAAATCTAACTGAGAACTGATAAATGGCCGACATTTTAACTGACAACTGACATTTGTACCCCCTCATCCAGATCCCCCATAAAAGCCGTCCATACCCAATGGCTAACACTTTTCAAGCTTGACTGAAAATTTGTCGCGCCACTTACTTAAGTTACCTCGCTAAAACATAACAGGAGAAAGAAGAAACACTCCCGCTATTAACATACTGTAAGATTTTACGCCAGTTATTAACGACGTAATGTTATTCAGTCGGTAAGGTATAAATGTAAGATTTTACGCCTGTAACTAACGGCGTTATTTCTTCCAGTCGGTGGTGTATATATGTAAGATTTTACGCCAGTAACTAACGGCGTTAATTCTTCCAGTTG